AGCCTGGAATAAGACAGTGAAAAAATTCAGTTCCCATTACAGGAAAGTACATGCACAAAGCTGCTGATGTAAAAATCAGGAGGGACGTCCAAGGTGTGCACAGCTGCACAGCGCAGGGATCCCTTGGGTGCCACGCGGGGATCGGCAGGAGTTTCCAGGTGGGAAGCTCAGCCAAGACCCCATCGTTTGCACAGGTCCCACCTTGCCACACTCAGCCTTTACGGCAGCGTCTGAAGCAGGAGCAAAGCCCTGGGGAAAGGGAGCAGAAAGCAGCCCCAGGCTGCAGAGGTGGAGACAGCCGGACTTCCCGGATCCCGGTGTAATCCCTGCGGTGGAAGCATGTAACCGCTCACTCCGACTTCGCCTCGTAAGGGAAGATGGATTTAGCTCCGGAGAAACTTCCAGGAAAACAGCGAGATACAGCGCGTACGAGATTCCTGTCAACAAAAGTTAATAGCTCTGCAACGGTTTCCCCAGCACACAGCAAATCTTGGCAAGTGCCGGTAATTCAATGTTGACTTAAGATTCTTTTGATGTGATTTAAAGCAATGAAGTCCAAATCACAGCAAAGATGGATCTGCAACTCTTTAAAATAATTGGTCAAAAGTATGCAAGGGAGAAAGGAAGGAAAAAATTAACTAATTTCCCCGAGGACATTAAGCTCATTATGCCGCTCACATTTAAGCTACACATTTACAGACTTTAGAACCAGTTTTGTGCTTCAGAAATTATTGTCACTTCTAAAAGCAGAAAGCAAATTTGAAGCAGGGTGTCTATGCCAACTTTGCATTAGTAACCTGTCCCATCTGACCTATATTAGGATCATGGAAACACTAGCTCTACCATTGTATTTGTCACTCTAATAGCACTTCTATACTAACTGGACTCTAATAGCACTTCTATACTAACTGGACACATAGAAGCTCTGAATGCCGGGAATTTTTGGCTAGCTGAGGAATGCCAGCTCGTGGAGCTGGATAACAGATGCAGTTGTTTTCCCTGGACCAAGGAAATTCCTTGTACTTGGCAGGATGTCTAAAGGCATTACCCTGGAAGTAAAGGAGGAAACAAGGTGGTATTTGGGTCCGCAGCGCTGCCTCGCGCGGGCAGCTTTGCTCAGCGCCGAGTCCCACCGCGACCGCGTCGCTCCCAGGAGAAAGGAGGCTCCCGTTCTCTCGGGGAGAATCTCAGAGTTTTCCATGTGCTCCTGCCCCTCGTTTTGGCAGCGGCAGCAAAGGCGGGAAGCAGAGCCCCACTTCCCAGCGCTGGGGCTGCTCGGCACGGAGCGGGCAGGTCTGGATGCCATCAGCACCGCTGCGCCCCAGGACACGCCGCGAGCCCCGGTGCAAAGCACTTTTATTAGGTGGGAAGCCTAATAAAACCATGCTCAAGCACATGGGAGCAAACTCTAAATGAGACATCCCAGAGCTTAGATTTTATATGGCAAAATCCCCTAATGCCCCAGGTTTGAGAGACTGATCAGGCTCCCAAGGAAACACAACTTCCATTCAGGGAACGCTTCTCAACACGCCTGTTGGCAAGTCTCAAACTTCTAGTGAAATAACAAGCACCAACTTGTTTTTCTACAAGAATGGGGGAAAAGAGGCAGGAATTTTTAAATTACCTGCTCAGTGGCTTGTGCTTGGGGAAAGAGCAAACCAT